GTGTCTTAGATGGACCCCTACAATAAAATATTAAATATATGTCCAAAGTTGCATCAATATTATCTAAATAATTAAGGAAAATTTAATATAATTTTTTTCATCTTAAACTATTGGTTACTCCCAAGTAATGAACAGCACACAAACAACATCCATCCAGGTTGTACAGCACTAAATCACTAATAAACTATGCACAGCCTGACACAGCAAACAGGTGTCGTGACATCAGTGCCTCAGCTAATGAGAGAGCTCACAGGATGTGATCATGGCCAGATCAGAGGCTGAAGCACAGCAGCGACATCAGCTGTGATGTGATTGTTTAGTTCTGCAGTCGGAAGCCAGAAATCGAAGGTTCAACATAGATACATGACATTATTGATCATTCCAGCTACACTTTAGGTACATTTATTCACGCGTTTAAAACCACAGTAAATAATAAAATGCATCTACAGTGGGTACGAAAAGTATTCAGACCCCCGTCAATTTTTCACTCTTTGTTATGTAGCAGCTATTTGCTAAAATAATTAAATTATTTTTTCCCTAATTAATGTACATGCAGCACCCCACATTGATAGAAAAAAAACAGAATTTTAGAAAGTTGGGTTGCAGTTACGTACATCTTTTTATCACAAGACAGCAAAACAATGCGAATTTGGGTCTCCCAAACAGCTAACAGGGGGGAACAGCCAGAAGCAAAGGGGGGCTCATATCTGTGCTGACCACAAACAAAAACTGTGCAATTACAAAACATTGAAACTAAACTATACCTGTAGTTCTCCGTTCTTGCGTAAAGTTACGTACATGTTGTGAACGAAGCAGTGACGGGCTGGCTTCGACCCTGGTCTCTGAGTGCCAACAGGTTGACTGTATACTCTTCCCCTGGTCTTAGACCTGTTTGGACAAATGAGGTGATGGTGCTGGGCAGCTGTGCAGTCATGCCTCCATCATTATCCTTTAAAAAAACATATGTAAACTGTTCAGATGAAAACATTCTTTTGAAAAGTAACTTCAGCACATTTAAATATTCAAACGGATAAAGAATAAAGTCTCGCAAAAATATTGTAGATTTATGCAAGAGTCATTTGGAAACATATATGCTACAACTTTCAATTTTTTTTGTGTCATTGCTGAACCGAAAACTTAAAATGGTTTTGCAAATGAAATTCCCAAACCATATTACCTTGCAGAAACGAGTGTGCAACAGTAATATTTCCAAGGGCATGTTCTGCAGAGGCAGCACTCTGCTTTTCCAAAGGCCTGTCACTCATCAATACAAAAGCCCAGCTCTAACCAGCTGTTCTCAAACAGCCACTGCTGCAAATGCACTTCCTGCTGACAGACAGATGTTTCCCTACTGCTGGTCTGAGCACCCAAACCAGCAGCACTTTGATGTGTTTTGTAAAACCAAACATACAACAGCTTGTCACATTCTTTAAATATATACATTTTTAAATATGTGACTGTAATATAATCACCTCCACTGCATAACCCAGGAGAGGAGTAATAAATAACCATTACTGTTCACTAGTAATTGGTATTCAGTCAATTTAATAGTATTAAATGCCATGAACCACAGGTCAGTGAAAGCTAAAAGCTATAAACACAATTAATCATCTTAACAGTAACATTATTGGTGATGCAAATGCTGTTTTTGCACAGTTTCTACATAAAGGGGAGTACTCTGGTGTTTTGTTGATGTTTTAAGCAAAATTATTCAAAATCTATTAAGGCAAATGTATGAAAACTGGACCAAGATGAAAGGAAATCAAAATATTTGACTTTGTATTTAATCTGGACTGAGCACATTGGATTTTTATCATTGCAGCAGATTCTTGAACTCATAATTTCACAATAATTTATAACAACTTTATAACAATTTTTCTTTCCTTTGTATTTTAGTCAAATTTTCAGAGCCTACAATATTTCACAAACACGTCTTTTCTTTGTTCTGATTATCCACCAGAAAAAAAGTCTATCTTAAACAAATTGCATGCATGTGCAAATATTTGCATTATTTATCGGGCTGCACAGTGGAGTAGCTGGTTACCACCGTTGCCTGTTGTATGGTATTTATTTGTGGCATTTGCATGGTTTGTTGGCCCTAACAACAAGGTTATGATTTATATACTGTACTATGCACTCATGCACCAATATTGTCTCTGACAAAAAGGATGTCTTGAAATTTTCCCCCTTTTCCTCCTTTTCCATTTCCTTTTTAGTAAATTTTGAATTAGTTCACACAAGTCAAAGGTTTAATGCCTTCTTCCATTAAGAGATTGTCAAAATTCACAATCCCCACTGCCGGTTTGAGTCCACAGGGGGTGGGACTGCCAAGTCTTAATATGATTTCCCCTGTGACTGGGAAGAGAGAGGGAGAAAAGGAGGCAAGGCGAGAACATGTACAAGAGAAAACAGTGGGGGAAGGAGTTATAGATCTCAACAAAGAGGCAGTGTTTGGATGGTAGAATCAAGAGATTAGGAGAGAAGAATGGGGAGGCTAGGAGATAATAGAAGAGTGACAGTAGAGAGGTAGAAAAAAGAAGGGAGAGAAGAAGAAGGCTCAAGTCTGTAAAAGTAAGGTAGGCCACAGTTTTCTATACTTTCAATTAAAGAAAAATTGGCTGTATCCACAAAAACAAAACCCTCAAAGAACATCTCATGATCAGACCTGGGTCACAGCGCCCAGCCTGACCAGAGAAAATCTTTCCTGCGGACACCTTAAATGAGGAAACCAATTACAGTGAGAGGTTGATCTGTAGAGAACAGTTTTATTAATTGTTGTTTTGCTTTAAATGCGACCTTGATATGATTTAGCTAAGTGGAAGAAAATTTGTTTATTACCTTTTCCATTTAATAGTTAATATTCTTTAAACAATTCATCTAATATTTTGAAACAGGGTTGAAATTTAACTCTCAATAAATCCCCAACATATTCAACATTTTTACTTGTGATTTATTATTACACAGTCCTTCAAAAACGGGTAATGTTTGGTGATCAAAATGATGTGTGTAATCTAGGATTATAAAAATGCCAACAGAACATGAACAGAATCAAGACCAACTCATTCAATAGGCATCAGCTTCCACAGCTAATTCATGCAAAAGCTAAATAAGTGGGAATATCTTGGCTGTAGGGTTAAAATAAAGCAATAAAACAATATGGCCAAATAAAATCGGAACAATAGCAGACTCAGACTCCATCCACGTGGGTTTGGCTTACTTTAGGAATGAAGCTGATCTCCCATCCATCAAAGGAATAGTAGAACGGTTTCCACTGGACCTCCACAGACGTCTCTGTGATGGATTTGAAGATTAAACCATCGGGATTGGACAGATCTGGAGACATTGGCAGACTTGTGTTATCTTTCTTCAATAACCCACATGTTCCATTATTCTTGGCTTTATATAAATTTGTATCTGTACTATTACATTTACAATGTGCAAAAGAGGGTGGGGCAACTGAAAATAAACAGAAAGCTAACATCAATCTCAGAATTCAGACTTTTTTTTTACTGAATAGACTTATTCCTAAAATTCTGTCTTTTTTTTTTCAGAGTTCAGAATTTTTACTTATTTTCTTTCTTTTTCAGTGGCCCCAATTCTCTTCCATAATAATATCTGTTCTGTAGCCTTCTAACCCTAACCCTCATTTGTTCATTATGAGTGGTATTGTTAATCTTGAGAAATGTCATTGAAATTTGGCATTTTTCTGTACATTATTATCATTAATACAAAATCTAAGAGAAACACTCACAGAACTACACACCAACTGTGTTGCCCTTTCAGGGATCGTGGAAATATTTCAGATAAATTCTCCCTGGCCAGCAGCAGAACATTAGCTTTAAAATGTTTCTAAAATATTAATTCATGTCATTTTTATAAACACAATAATGCCAATAAACATAAAAACTAAAATTGGAATGTACCTATTTATTTTGCGTTTACTGTCTTTTTCTATTAATTATTAAATAGTTTGATGTTTTCGGTTCATTTTAGTTGTACACACACAGAATTGAAATATAAACATGCCTAAAGCATGAATACTCATGGACTTTAACAGTTGCTGCTTTAAATATTTGGGCAGAAACTAATAACCACGGATGCAAATGTATCTGCAAATGATCTAAATCATTATCTTTGTCAGCAGCTCTGATCCCAAACATGCTTCTGCATAATCAGATTCTCCATTTTTATAATTTCATTTCACAGAGACAGCCTAATATATCATAGCCTCGCTGAAAAATGTTTCCATAGACTTTAATTGGCCTAAATTGTTTTTATAAGTCAAAAATCTACGATTGTTGAAATAAAATTCACTTAGCTGTGAAATAGAAGATAGTTTTACCATCCATGATGTCACTATTGGAAATATGTTTGTGCAGCCACACATCAAGTGGCATAATGAATAGTCTATTACTATCTCACAGGTCTGAGAAACCTATAGACTGGTGGGCTTGACAGCAACCAACATGTTTCCCTGTAAAATCCAACAGCTTGGCCTGAAAACCTGCTTGTCTCTGTGCACATGTGTGTGTGTGTGTGTGTGTGTGTGTGTGTGTGTGTGTGTGTGTGTGTGTGTGTGTGTGTGTGTGTGTGTGTGTGTGTGTGTGTCAGATTATGATCTGTTACACTTTTTTAGAGAATTCAGTGATGGTATGTGTGCATTTATATGACCAACATGATACTTTCAAAGATGACCATTTAAATTAATTAAACAAACATATTTCGGAGCCTTAAATCAAATAAAAATAAATAAAAACACTTACAAGTCCAAACTGTAATACTGGCAGGAATGCTGATTGTGTTGTTGATGACAGCAAACACATTGATGTTGTACTCCAAGCCTGCTTCCAGCCCTATGATTGTCCAGGATGTTGTATTTGCTGGAAGCCTTATCTCATACTGCACACCTGACAGAGATCGGAGAAAAGCTCTGACATCTGACAACAGAACGCACCTTTGTTTTCGATATTTAACACATATTCAAACACAAAGATTTAGGCTACTACATCTCTTAATTTATAAGGTAAGTTCAGGTCCTTACGTACCTGCAGGGCTGCTTGGTCCATAAGTCAACAAGAAATCTGTCACCACAACTGACCCCTCCCACTCCAGGTCAATGGTACAGTCTGTTACCCCTCGTGTGTTCAAGTTCATGGCCGGTGCCACTGTTGATATGAAAAACAAACATTGTTGATCTAACAATAATGGAACTGTCGTTTTCAGTCATCCTGGAATGGAAAAATAAAAACCATTGAAATAAGCTAGAACTTGTTCTTTTGTTGTTGTAAAACAAACAAAAAACCTAAATCTGTTTCCAGCTTTAAACAAACAATACAACTGCAGACCCCATTTCATACCAGTGTCAGCATCCACCTTTTAGCCAGAGGCTCAAAAAATTCCATCATAGACAAAGTGTCAAGGTTAAAATGCAGATGTGTAGCCCTTCTGTATGCAGACAATGTCTTTCAGGCAGTGATGAGGAAACTAGAGCCTGGATGCAGAGTTCCAAGTGATGACACGATACCACACAGTACAGACATGCTACACTAGACTCCTTCTGAAGGGTGAGACATCATTCATGATTTAAATACATTCAATATGTTTAAAAGTCTAAACTTTTTTTACTTTTAATCTAACCTCAAATACTGATCAGAGTAGTCTTGAATTCACATTTTAAAACTATATTTAAAAAAAACATAGTTTTACATTTGAAGTAAATAGCGTTCCACTATAGGCACATTTATCATCATTTCAATCTGTTATTTAAAAAGTCTAAGTTGACTTGCTCATAAACAACCTGGAAGGCAGTAATAAAACTGAGAGGAAGATTTATTATTTCATAATTATTAAATGAGTTTGGTTTAACCACTGCTTAGACCTTTTTATATAGAGTTAATCACTTAAGGTCTGTTTTTTATTCAGTTTTTAGCTGAACATATTGATGATCAATCGTAAAGTGTGAACTAGGTGATGGTTTTTAAATGCTGTCATCAATATCCCTGATTGGTTCATGCCTTCACAACATCACACCTAGACTATCTGGTGTAAGTCAGGTACTGCAGCTCGTTCAGAGTGCTGCAGCGATAGTCTTGGTTGGCAAAAGAAAGTTTGATCACAATCACACCTGTTCTGGCTGCTCTTCACTGGTTGCCTGCTGATTTTAGAATTCTAAACTTTAAATTTAAACTTTTTAAGGCTCCAGCATATTTAGCGGAGTTGTTGCAGCCATATGTCATGCTCGAATGAAAAACAGTGGAAGTGGAACGCACTTCCTCTATCTGTAGCAGTTTTTAAGGCAAGGCTGAAGACCCCTATTTATGGCTTGGCTGTTCTTGATCTTTTATGTGATTTTATATTACTTGGACTTGTTTGTTTTTAATAGTTTTTGTTGATTTTTTAAATTTGTTTCTGTGCAGTACTTTGGAGGCATGCCTCACGCCTGTAAGGGGCTCTGTCACTAAAGGTTGATGATGATAAAGATAAAGATGATCGTTAACTGCGCCAGTTGTGTCACTTATTCTAGCCAATTGGGTTACGAATTCAGATGTGTTTTTTTTAAATGGCCTGCATTTGATATAGCGCCTTCTAGAGTCCTGGAACCCCTCAAGGTGCTTTACAACACAATCAGTCATTTACCCATTCACACACACATTCACACACTGGTGTGGATGAGCTACACTGTAGCCACAGCTGCCCTGGGACGCCCTGACAGAGGCGAGGCTGCCGTACACAGGCGCCACCAGTCCTTCTGACCACCACCAGCCGGCAATGGGGGGTTAAATGTCTTGCCCAAGGACACAATGTCAGTGACAAACTGAGCAGGGCTCAAACCTGCAACCTTCCGACTATGGGGCGATCACTTAACTCCTGTGCCACCGCCACCCCAATCAAGGACACAGTAAATGACCCCACATAGTATGTTTTACCAAACAAGTGACCTATGTGATCTTTATAACCTCATGCACTGTCTGTGCCATGAAGACCAACTCATAATGTTGAATTTTTGCTACTGTGTGATTAAATTCTCCATCTGCTGTTGAAACTGCAGCTATATTTCTGCAACAGCGACCAAGTTAGACTGTAAATGTACTCAGTGCCAAATCTATTAAGTTCTGGCGCACTGACAAGTCATCCTGCCTTGTCAAAAAATCTCAGTGAAGCAAGTTTCAACAGCAATACTTACTGGGTTTATCGAGAACGGAACACAAATAGTGTAACAATTTTGTTTAAGAGTTTTCCCATCTATAGGGTGAATAATTACACTATAAAGGCAATTTCAGATAGCTGAATTTTATTCTATTTTTAACAACACCTGTTAAACTAAAAGTCACAGGGAGGTGAACAATTGAAATTAACATTGGAAACAGTGATGAAACGCCAAAACAAGACTTATCTAAACAAAAATGCCTCTCACTGATCAATCAGGATTGTTTGATATATTGTGTTTCAGGTAAAAATCATGTGACAAAAGTTATGTATGTGTGTGTGCAATACCGCAAGGCAGCACGTTTTGATGGGTAGCCTTTTTCTGTTAGAACACCATCTGGGTCAAAGTGCTGAGTCATCAAAAATAATGCAAAAACTATCAAGATTTATGTCCTATAAACGTTGATGCTTCAGCTCCTTTTAATGGTATGTCCACCATAATTTTGGTAGTTGCTTCAGATTTAACATCCATTGAACCAGTAGAATCTGAATAACTATTTTAAAACCACTGGAAAGTTTCATCTTTAATTAAAGTTAATGGATGCAACTCTCCAATTGCTTCTACACTTCCATTTCAGAACCTGCTGGGCATTGGCCCAAGAAATGTTGGCAGGGGTGGCCAGACAGGGCCCAAGAAATGTTTGGGGTGACACACCAAATTGGTCCTTGTGGTAACTCTGGGAGAGTTTAGCCTGTGGTGATGTATTGCATTGCTCCTTAATATTATTTTATTGAAAAAAAAATGTATATATATATATAAAAAAAACCATATTTATCCAAAACATTTAACTTAAATTTTACATGCACAAACATTTCAGAAAAATATGTTTCAGTTATTTAAAATGTTATTTCAAGTTTTATTTTAAAATGTATAATTTTTCATTGTTTAATTCACATGTCTCTGTATTCACAAAAAACTATGGAGATAAAAACTTTTTGGGTGAGCAGCAGAAACATATGTTTTTTTTTTATTCTGAATATTTTTCAGTCATTAATTGTATTATTTTTATTTTGTTTTACAATTATGGGTTGAATAAATAAGATTAATTCATGGTTTGAGCGAACATTAATATGATTTATTAGCACAGCCTTTTCCTGAGGAGGGCAGCATTTTTCTAGGGGCGGCCATGGCCACCCCTTGGCCACCCCTCTTTACTGTGAGACCCTGGAAGTGGGGCAGAGCCCTGGACCACAGTTCCTTTGATCCACCACAATGGTACGCACAATTGCAATGTAGCTGCTTCAGAAGCAATGTTGTCTATCATTTTAATTTTAGGCGCCACCGCCTCCTCTGTGGGTGGCTGGAGGTTGACTAGTACAGAAAGGTTGACCCTGGCTGCAAGGTGTCTTCCCCACTTATTGGGGTTTTATGACATTTTGCTTGGGGAAAATTCACGTTCTACAGTTGGAATGATGCTAAACAGTGCAAACACATTTGTGGTGGGCAAACGTTTTTTTTATTGCACAAACTGCAAGCAAATCTATGTGTAAGGGGGTATGTGTAGTGCTTGAACATGATTGTCTACTTAACACAAAAGAGCAATGGAATTACTCAGACCTTTTCAGTTTTCAATTTTGGACGTCAGTGGTTTAAGTTTGGTACTCTGCTGGAAATCATCTTGTTTTCCTTACTACATTCATTGATGTTGTGACAGAAATGGAAAACTTTCTTCACATTGGGTTGATGACTGTTGTAAGTGGTCACAGAACTCTGGAAAAATGGATGAAAAACAGGGGAAGTAATACACTTGAAAGAATTGGTGATGGATGAAGATCAAAGTCAGTAAATAGATGTTACTGAGATTTCATCATATTTGTTTTTCACTTTGCACATTTGTCTAAAGCAAGTTGCAACACTTTAAAAGCACTTAAGCGCCGCAGCTCCCAGAGCCAGGTCAGACTGTGTCCCTGCTCACAAGCTCAAGACCACTTCACTATCGGTAGTAGCTCACAGCCGGGTAGCCTCTTATAATACAAAGTATAAACTAAGTATATAATTAAAGACACGTCAAGCAGATTAGAGAATACATCTCTGTGTTTTTAAAGCCAGCTGCATTGTGAATGCATATTCCTTCAAGGAAAAATAAGCTTGTAGTGAGAGGAGGCTGAAGTGGAGATTTTCAAGTTATAACCCTTAGATATGGTGTGGAATCTAAATGTGGAGAAATAAACAGGAGTGTTTACAGCTCCTCCTGCCACCAAGAACAAAGGGGAGGAGGGGAGACAAGTGAAGGACATGGAGGAGAGCGTGAGATGGGAGGTACAAATGGCTTGAGTTGTAAATGCTCTGAGGAGATAGAGTAGAAGTGTGTGCGTGAGGAGAGTAAACAATTACACTGAAAGATGATCAAGGGAGATAAAGAGCCAACAATGGTGAGGCAGAACAGGGAGATGAACATGAGGAAAGGAGCAGTGAGTGCAATGGTGTGATAAACAACCTCTCACCCCTGTGATACAGGACACCACAGCGCTGAGTCGAGTCCTCCTCAGGGAACTTTTGGGGCACTTTAGGAGCTATTTCAACTACTTTCTCACGTGCCTGACAGATGGGCACATGCTGTGCAGCAGCTTGTTCATTTCTAAGCAGTGGGGACAACTCCTCTTGCTTTTGCAGCTAGATTTATTTCATCAGTTTAAATCAACTTTGATGGGGAGGAAATAACAAAAGAGAAGCAGAAGCAATCGACGGTACAGATGAAGAGACTAAATCAGGTCACTGTGGAGACTAGATGATGAGCAAGAAAAAAAAAGACATCCTCCACATGAAAGTCAAGGACAGAGTGAATGATGAGAAAGATCTGTCTGTTATACAGAAATCTTTAACCGATGCAGAATCTCACCAAGCTGCTGATGAGTACAAGGTTGCCAAGCATTCAGGAGAAAATAAATTACCAGCATCACCAGCTACGAGCATCCTCAGTGAGAAGTAGTGAGATATTAGTCGGCATTTACTCAAATG